TATCATATAATTTTGTATGTAGAGCTAAAAGTAGAATTTGCTGACTCAGTGTGTCCTGGGGGCGGGGCCGGTGCAGCATGCCCAGGGATCCAAACCCTGGTCCCAGCGTCTGCATAAGCACTCACTTTAATCCACTGAGCTATTTGGCTGGTCCTTAGAGCGCCTTATTCTTGCCAACATTTTAATATTAGGTTTTCAATTGTAACAATTCTTGGACTATGTATTTTCGCTGTGCTCAGGGAAATGCAGATTAACAGTGATGAGTAACTTTTCATTTACCAGCCGTTGGGTGTCTGGTAGCTTGTCAGATAAAGTACCCATTGAAGTCTTGCATCCGTTTTTAAAAATGGTTTGTAGATTCTGTTATTTCCAGAAGCACCCACCTTTGCAGGTGTCTTAATCACTTTCGTTGCTAGGACACCATAACCCACGCCCAACACCCACAATTTAGGAGGTGAGGTTTATTTTGGCTCGTGTTTTAGAAGATTCAGGCCTTGCAAAGTCAGTGGCATGGTGGAAGGACCTGGGAAGAAGAGAGCTGCTCACTTGGTGGCATCTAAGATGACCAAGAGGAGGAGCCAGTAGGCAGGTCACACCCACAGTGTGGCCTTTCCCAACCAGGCCCAGCCTCCCAGCACCAAGCCAGCAGTACTCCTGTGCCCACCACTACTCCCAATACCTTCACCTTCCACAAGCCACCACCTCTGAGTATGTGAGGCTTCAGGGACATCCAGGTATAAACCACGACAGGATGGCTATTATTTCAGACACCTTGTATACCCTGTGGTTTTCCATTGACTCTGAGGTGTTGTTGTTTTTTTTTTTTAAATGAACGAAAGTTCTGAATTTTAATAAATTCCTGTTATTGTTTTCCTTTATAGTTGGCATAACATTTTCTATTGAGTATTTTTGCCTATTCAGTAGTCATGAAGGTATTTTGGTCTTCAGAAAACATTATAAATTCTATTTTATGTGTAGGTCACAGTGGGGCTGAAGTTGGATTTTTATATGATGTAAAGTAGAAGGGACCCCCATATGGATATTGACATACTGCATATTGAAAAGATTTCTCCTCAGCAGTCTTGAGAAGATGCCCCTGTGTGTCTGAGTCTGTATCTGTGTCCTTCTTCCCCTGTTCAGTTAACAACAAGCCATCACTTGATACCTGGTCAGAAAAATCTTGCAGCCTTGTTTAAGAAGATAGTCTTTCCTACGTCTTCATGTTGAACACACCAAATTAAATTTAGAATTAATTTGTTCTTTTACATACATACCCGCACTATACTCTTGCAGGGATTCTGATTGATTTGCATTAAGTCATTTGACTGATTTGGGGAAAATTTACCTTGTACAGTATTGAATCTTACTGAGTCCTTTGATTGCTTTTGGTTATATTTTGTAATTTTTTATGTAGAGGGCATATATTTTCATTAAATTTATTCATTTTTATTTGTTTTTTGATACTATTATAAATGATATTGCTTTTAAATTTCATTGCTAATTTTAATAGCTTCTGAGGAGCCGGGGCGATGGCTCAGTGGACTAAGCGCTTCCCTTACAAGCTCAAGGGCCTGAATTCAATCCCCAGTTCCACCAAAAAAATAAATCAAATTTAAACAAGTTATGGTGTAGATAAAACTGTATTGACCTTTTGTCCAGTGACTTAAGTTCACACAGTAACCTAATTAGTTTATCTGTACAGTCTTAGGTTTGCCATGCACATAACTAGTTCATCTGCGAACAGTAGCGATTTTCTTTTTGCTAGTTTGTGATACTTTATGTTTCTTTTTCTTGACATCTCACTGCCTAGGACCCCCAGTTCAATATTGAATGTTTGAGAGTAGAGGTATTAGTATGTGTGTTTATACATATTCTTTAGTCTTTAATAACTTGGTAGAAGGTTTTGTAGCACAGCAGCATCTTTAGTAAAGTAGAAGTATGCTTCAGGAAAAGCATACTTTGATCAAAGACATGCCGTGTTCAGAGCTGTTTTTTCCCTCCAGTATTTCCAACTTGGGGATGTTTGGCATTGACGAATTCACTGCAGTGATCAACCCTCCTCAGGCCTGCATCTTGGCTGTTGGGAGATTCCGCCCTGTGCTGAAACTCACTGAGGACGAAGAGGGAAACCCCAGACTGCAGCAGCGCCAGCTCATTACAGTCACGATGTCAAGTGACAGCCGAGTGGTTGATGACCAGCTGGCTACCAGGTTTCTGGAGAGTTTCAAAGCAAACCTAGAAAACCCTGTCCGACTTGCTTAGTTCTCAAAGATGTGCTGTGCATTGAATGGTTGTTGCCACGGTATAGTAAAACAGTTGAATATTTGAATATAAAGTGGACAAACTGTTTATTTATTTAAAGTAAAAGCATTGACTCAAGTTGCCTTCATTTTCAGTTTGGTTTGTTGTGTAGAAATAAATGATAAGCTGTAATTAATAAAGAAAACATTTGGTTAGATCCCTTTTTAACCTCTGGTGCTGTACAAAAGGTTTATTAAACTAGATGTAAATCAAATTATATATTTGGAGCATTTTAGAATGTTTGAGAATATATTATAGAATCACATCATTGATAGAATTCTACCTTGATTGTGTTAAAGGTATAAGTGGTCTTCAAAGATATGCTGGTGAATTCGTGAGGCCTCTTTTTCCTAAGCACTTCTCTAAGATATACTTGAACAACTTAACAGCATAGAAGTTTATTCTAGATGATAGTAAATAAGGATGCATTGTATCAGGGTTAATAGCAACATTATTACATTTTTATGTGTATAAAGCCATATGTGTTCTAGCCAGAAAAGTTTCTATCAGTCTTGTTTTTCACTTCTATAACACTTTGAACTTCTAGAGAAAAATACAAGAAGAAATAAAAATGAAGAGAGACCAAAAAAGTTGCTTGGTTCACTGAAAATCTATAGTTAAAATACCAAACCCTTCCGAAGTAACTGACCTAAATGCTAAGCTGGAGTATATTTAAGTTGTCTTCCAACATTTTAAGTGAGCATTAAAACACAAAATTTTGTTTCTTAGTACATTTAAATCAGTTATAGTGTACAATAACTGTGAGAAAACAGTAATTTCTGTTTTATTTTAAAAGTTGGCCCAAGTAAGGCCTTGCTACCATGCCCAGTTTTGGTGGCCAGCACAATGTGCCCAGTGTTCTGGGGCCAGTACAGCATGTAATACCAGGGATCAAGCCCAGGTGCTTGCATTTTCCAGGCAGATGCTTAGACCACTCAGCTATCTCCCCAGCCCTCTCTGGGACATCTTAAAAGGACTTCCTCAAGAGGAAAGGGGGAGTTTAAAATTAATATGACAGTAGAAAAAGAACTAATAATGTATAACTTTGGAAAAAATGGAAGACTTTTAAAGCAGAACACATGAGAACTATCCTTTTATTCCATCCATAATATGAAAAATTCACTAATTACCATAAATGTTAGAAGAGCCTCTTACTCTTTTGGCAGCTCTGCTAACTAGCACTATATTTAAATTGGATGGTAATGAATGGTAATTTAATTCACCAGTCACAGAAAGGCTTAAGTTAGTATCTTCTGACATAAATCACCAAAAGAAAGAATTTGGTACAAGTTTTATTAGGTATGACGTGAACTGTAAGCCTTAACCAAAGAGCCTTCTAAAATAGTGCTCTAATGTATCTGTTGTTAAGAAAATGGATTCTTTAGTTGCTCAATTTTAACAATCTGTTTTTTAAAAAGTCTTAGAAACTTTTTGTCATGTTAACAGTTATACTGAAAATTGAAAGCAAATGCAATTGTCAAATGTTACGACTTTTCAAGGTCAGATTAGCTGACATTATTTGGATTTTTTTCTTAATTTTTTTGCCTGAAAATTAAGAGGATGAGAGAGCTGTAAGTCTTGGCTTGGCATGGTGTGTTCCACAGATTGTCCCGTTCCACGAATGTGTGCTGGGGTGTTGCCTTTCATACAGATGGGGCAGGAAGCATGCGCACCCCCACCTGCTCTGCAGTTGTACCCTGCACAGGAAAAGGGCTGCGCTAACCAAACACATTGTCAGCCCTCAGGCTGGCATAGTCGGCTTTGCATAGTGACCAGCTGGGCCTCGTGGCTTGACTGCTCAGCTTCTGGTACGAACATTTGATTTTCATTTCAGTTAAAAGTACTTTATCTGGTATTTTTCTGTTGGTGATCAAGTTTGTCTAAGGAAAATCTTTAAAAATGTTATTACAGAAGACAAAAGAATGACACAGATGTGTGGAAGGGTTGCGGTGCACTTGGTCTGAACCGTGTGTGTAGCAGACCCCTCCCACACTATTCTACTCATTTATGATTGGAGGCATCACTCTTGAGAGCCTAGAAAAGTGGAAGGTTTTGTACCTGGTCATCTTTATCCCCATTTAAATAGGGAAAATGAGACTCTGAAAGAAAAGGCTACACACATCCAAGTTAATGCTTGGGGATGGAAATGTCCATAGATGTTAAGATTTTTAAGTCAGGATGGCCCCGCTTGTCCCTGGTCAGGATTTTGCTATCATTTACAGGCAGTGTTCATGTTTATACTTGTGCTTGCTTGAAACCCTAAGAAATCTCTATTACTGTACAGATATTTTATATATTGTCAGGTAGAACTTTAATTTTGAAGTTATTTTTTCCCTTGTACTTAATTTCAGCTGAATTGTGTTGAACTGCCATGAGCATTATGTGAGAAGCAAACACTTCTGACCTTTCATTGAAAGATAGGTGGTGCTGTGAGTTAATGCAGTGGGGGGCTGCCATTGAAATCTTAGTTTTCAGTGAAAATTTGTGCATCTTTCACATTGCATCTGATGGCTCTGTCTCCAAGCAAAATGAAAGACACAGTGTGGTGCAGATAACATTAACCATTAATTTGAGCATGAGGTCATTAATAGGAAAGTCTTCAGATTTTTCAGGAAGGAAAGCACAGTGCAGAATTACTTTTAAGACTAGCTCAACTATAATATGCAAGGTAGGTTAAAATGGAGACAGTGCCAGTCAGCAGGAAACAGTGGAAGTGCGTGCTATGATAAAAGATTGACTTGATCAGGAGCTGCCATGGGTCATCATCCTTAAAGAAGGGAGAGGGTGAAGGATGTTCCTCCTGTCAGGACGCTGCTGCGTGTTAGGAATGTATGGGCAGGTGGGTCCCACCACACAGATCAGCAGCAGTGACATCATTTTCATCCAGATACTGTCCTTAGCTCACATTCACCACTCCTGAAAGAGGGTCAGGTTCTGATACATTGCACATGGCAAGTGGTATAGTTTAAGAGACATTTAAATTACTGTGTAAATGGAAAAAATGATAGTCATTCAATAAAGCCATTTTAAATAATTCATGAGTTTTACATTTTTTTTCTAGTGTTTCCATTGATTTCAAGAGAGACAAGAAGTAGGGTTAAGTGGAAAGTATAATATATCTAGATGTATAATTCTGAAAGCAATGTTTAATTGAAATTTTAAGGTGATATAATATTTTGACAATGATTATTGGCCTTTCTTAGTAGCAGTCCTTTTCTTTATTTAATCAAATTGTTTTCATATTTGTGTCACTTCTCTAGTCCACGCAGCCTTTTTCTTCTTGAGAAAGAAAGTAGTTTAAACCTCTTAATGAAAGTCTGCTGTAGATGATACATACAATTAAGAAAGTGTGGGTTGCTATTAAAAGTTGAGAAATATCAGCAAGATGATTAGTCATGAGTTGCCTTTCTTTACATCAAAAATGATGTGATTTTTTAAAGTTTTACGAAATTCTTTGTTGCTTCCTCTTTTTTAAATTTTTTTATTATAATTTTATTTTGAAGAGTAAAAACAAAAGCAGGAAAACAAATACAGAATCAGGGTAACATACAACAGTAAATATATTACAGATTTTCAAAACAAGAATAGCTGATTAACAATGAATGATATATTATCTATTGTTACCATTAAATCTGTTGCTCAGATTATCAGATACTGTTATGCAAGATGGGACACATGATTCAGTATTACCCCATGCTTTCAAGAAATCTTAAATTTTGTTCTTGTCTTTTTCTTTTATTACTTTTTTCTAAAAAATTTACTTTAAAGAGAGTATAGTAATAATTGATATGACATTAGAAATGGTACACATTTAGAAGACTAAGATGATAGGTATTTCAAGCATAGTTTTTATATTACGCATTGGTGTCCTCAGTGTAGTTGCTTAGATCACAGTTATCTGCATGCAGTTAGTCAAGGTGAGAATTCTACACATTAACTGCTATTTTCATAACACTGATGGAAATACTTAGTACAGTCAGCTCAGCCTTCTTGTATATATGCTTCCATGCTTTTGCCCCTCTCATTTCTATTATTTTTTTCTCCTTTCTCTCTTCATGTTTAATCCTTAAGTTCCATTTCTTTCCATTGAACTGTTTTGTTTTTGTTTTTGTTTTGTACCTGGGATTGGACTCAGAACCTTCCACTTGCTAGGCAGACGCTTATGCTGCTGAGCTATGTCCCCAGCGCCTTTATTGATTCTATCACTGAAAGATAAGTCTTTTTTAAAGATAGGGCTATTTTGAACAGATGATACAGCATTAGTCATAGCATTTTATACAGCATAAAGTATATTAAGATGTTAAAGTTGTAGTTGCTTAAATTCTACTTATGTTTATAAGTAGCTCAGAATGAGTCTGTTACATAAAGAATAGTATTCTTCAGGAAGCCATAGGATGGGACTCGCTGAAGTACCCTTCCCAACAGAACTCCTTACTAATCCCTAATGCCTACTTTGTAAGTATGCACTCAAGGTTTGTTACTGACTGTGTCAGGAGTATTTTAACTGGTTTCCACTTCATAAATTACACTGCTGTTGGCATACGGCAGTGTATCATTTCTGTGCTTCAGTGTTCTTATAAAATGAAGAAACAGGAGGGAAAATTCATCACTGTGACACTTAACCTCATTTCCCAGTTCTGTGTGGGACATTCGTTGTGTTTGCACTGATATGGTCCTGCATAGAATCTCTGGTATTATGTGTGCAGACTCAGATACTGCATAAGTTGACCACGGCTGAGAAGAGCCACTACTGGGATTTGAGCGGGGATCTATTTGGCTCAAAAGGTCAAGCTCACGTGTTGTAATACATAGTCTCCTCTATCATGATTATGCAGGTAAGGCAGTCAACAGAAGGACCTATTCTTCAGTATTACCACCAACGTGTTTTCTACATAACATTCCAATTCTATTCTTAATTCACATTTTCTTTGCAGTGGTTATGCAGAAAGTAAGTACTAGGGCAGTTTTTCTTATTTTCATTGTGGACCTCTGCTAAAGTGAAGTGTTAAGGACTTCTGAGTGGAAGGTGTAGAAAAATAGGCACTTAACCCATTAGGGGGTTTAGTGCTTCTAGGGAT